AGCAATAATATGATCCAGATTTCTGTTGTTCCCAGACCATTAAATCAGATTCTAAGTTAAAGCAGTTATCTGTGTAAATCACTACTGTGTACTAATTAGGGGATCTACAGATTTATAGCAGAATTGTTTTCCTTCCCTGAAATCAAGATTGCTATTCTAATTGCTTAGCATTCTTTACCTATGATTTATGGCCTCTCTTTCTTCTTAGACCCAAGTTGAATTTTTCCTGGAGTGGAAAAAAGGTGTTAAGATGAACAAGCATATGGTTATAGTACTGAAATTGAGTAGAATGATCTTCCAGATGCCTTCCAATGTGGTAACTTATGATTTTAAAGGAGAAGGTATGTTTCAAACCTGATAATCAGGTTTTGCCTAGATATATTCAACAGTTAAATAAATTGTTACTATAGGAACACGTTCAAAAATGGGCAATCTTTTTTATCGGTGAGAGTAGCTATGCTTTAGTGGAAATCTGTCAGAAACCATGTTGTGAATGAGACCAAAGTACATGTCTATGACATGAGAAATGGACAGAGCAGAATCCAGTGACTCTGCTGATACAATCCCATATTCCATGGACTTGTCTACATACATTCCAAACTCTTTGGCTACATGGTTACAGTCTTCCCTAACGTGGCGCCTTCAGATAGGTTGAACTATAATTTTAATCAATCCAATCCAGGATGGGAACACATATCTGTAGAGTACTAGCTGTAAGTTAAGATATATATTATTGCTAAATAACTTTAAAAAGTAAATTAAGTGTGCACAGCATAGACCAAGTATGTAATTAACATCTAAAAGTAGCCTATAACAATGAATCCAGCAACTACCACCTTACATGCTGCTTGAATTTCAATTTCAGAATTTGGGGAGTTTTAACCATGGACCTTTCAGTGACACCCCTTCCCCCGCAAACTAGGAAAAGCAGAAAATTCATTGGATTTTCTCAAATACTTTGTGTGAAGTGAAAGTGGTGGCACTCTTTTTAGGTGAGCTCTTTTCTAGTCTTGGGACCCTGGGAAATGCCCAACCGGGCCACCACACAATTGAGGGCTCACACATCCTGTTTGTGAGAAAACCTGACAATGGCCTATTAGCCTTGGTCTGGGCTTCATTTCCTTCCTGACGCTCCTGAAAGCATTGCAGAGGGTTGCTGTATTAGGTAAACCTTTCAAAATGTCACCCTTCTATTTTTGCTACTTTACTGAGTTTAAATTTAATTGTCATTTAATGCTGTTTCTTGTAACTTAAAAAAAAAAACGTTTCTAGGCTCCACAGCTTTAAAAAGCAGAACAGACATTTCATTCAACACACTTGGACTCTTCATGCTGTGACTAGTTGAATTAATAGGCTTGGCATATGCCCAGATTAGCAGCAAATCCACTGCCATTGTGCACAAACTGTTATACAGTTACTGATACATAAGCTGGCACTTGGGTGTGTGGCAAACTTATCAACACTATCCCAGACTTAATTCAAACTGAATTGATGCAATGAGTCCAACATCCTAAAAAAAGTTATGAGTCAACTCAATTTTCCAAAGCATTTTCCATTCACGCAGCCATAATATTACATGGCAAGGATGCAGACATTGTTCAGCAGTTTATTTTCAGAAGCATGGCACTCTTGATTCCTGTTAGACGGGGTTTTAATCTACGCTGGCTGCAGGGAATTGATTTTTCCCTTCATGCCTTCATAAGCCTGCAGTGTTAATCATTCCCAGGTGTTTGGGCAGGGGGTTCACATACTGGGTGGCTTTCCTGGTTAATGGTTATGGAAAGAAACAGGCAGGTTTTGTAACTCCCTTTTCCAGCTCTTGCTTGCTGACTTCCTTCCTCTTGTCTGTTTCCAAAACAAAAAGGGGTCTGATGGCAGTTCGATGGCTCAGTTCAACTTCTGTGATGACTTGGATGCCTTCCCAGAGACCAACTCTCTCCAGTTAACTTTCCTCTCCCAACACTAAAGTGAGCAGAGAAAGAGAGGGAGAGCTGGCCTTGAATGGGACTGAGGAAGAATGAAGATGCAACAGCCTGGTTGTGTCAGGAACCATCAGTGGTTATGTCTTTAGTGGCAAGAAGGTGATCAGATCAGATGCTGTTTCAGCATGTAATTATAAATCCCTTTTCTGTCCAACCATCAGGTAGCAGAGAGCAAGCATTGACTTCTGCCTAATTCATTTGGGACATTTCACATTTTCTGAAATCCACCTCAGAACAGAACTATAGATATAGAAGGACACATAGTCAAAGAGACTACAGCATAAATTAGTCTAGTTTCAAGTTCTTCTGTTTTAGGTTGGGAGGGGGAATGGACACTTTTTTAAACTGCCATTAGTCTGCAAAGAGTTGTCCCCAAATCCAAGTTTATCTTCCCTGCTTTCTGATTTTCAACACACATTTTTGGATATTACTGGTATCTCACTACAAAATTGCAATTATGCAATTAAACATTTTCAACAGAAAGACGACAAGGCACAAACTGGAAACTGTCAATATCAACAGCCAACTACACAATTTAATAACCAAGCAGTTCTTCTCCAGGGCTTCAGCTGCATGCCTATTTTTTGGGTACAGTGCAATCTTCTTCAATATAATTAGCACAGAGAGCTCAGGTTGCTTAGTTTGCACCTGGATCAATAATTAACTCAGCAAATTAACTGGTGAGCAGGAGGAAAAATGAAAAAAAAATATTTGATTTTGCTGGTTTCCAACACCTTACTTCCCAGAATGCAGCACTAGAATAGATAAGCGGGTGGGGGAGAGGACTATTTCTCTAGAGAGCTTTCCAAGAACAAGTGGCCATGAGAAAAAATATTTAATTGTATAAGTGCAGAGGGTGGGGAAGAAAAAATTGTTTCTTCAAGGCATGTGCAATTTAAGAGGTTGAATTAAGTTCAACTTTACCAGTGATATCTAACTGTAGCAAGCACTATCATCTAAAACAGATGAAACAGATCATGCAAGTGGGAGAAGCCCAGCACCAGGAAACTCCTATTTAGTGGGGATTCAGGAGGACTAGGTGAGACCCATTATGATCAACAAGCACAAACCATCACTATTTTAACAGAGATTCATAGTAATTTATGCCATTTATCTGCATAAAGGAATTATCAATTTATCTGCATACAGAAATTTAGCACAGATCAAATGAAGCTGGTAAAACGTGACTGGTTCATACAATATGCTAATCCTTAAGAATTTGTACAAACCATGATTTGTGACTTAGATGGTTTTGAAACCCTAGTCAATTGTAATCTATTCAATAAACCATGGTTAAGACTAATTTAAATTGCATTAACGAGTGTACTTCCAGTACCACTTAATCTGGATCTAATCCAATGCATTTTTCTCTGCAAGCAAAATCTCTATAGGAAAGAGACTGATCAAAACTAAATGATATGCCAATAAAAATAAAAGATCTACTTGGATACAAGTGACTTGAGTCAGTTTTCAGATGTTGTGTTTTTCAAGCAACATTTGTAATGTATATAACAGTTTCCCAAATGGATCATTGCAACTGTGTCAAAAGTTCCATACTGTATAGTATGGAGACTTTTCATACAAGTCATGGTGGGATCCTATGGTGAGCCTTCACTTTCACATGGCAGATAGAATACTTAGAACAAATACACTACTCTGGCTTTGATTTTCAAGCGTATATTTAGGTTCAGAAGCCAACATGTAAATTAAACAACAATCTTCAAGCTATAGTCTGGATAGCTGTACCGAATAATATATTTATGGTATTCCTAGAACACCTTTACTGGAAATTTCCAGACAAGAGGAACTCATGACACCCACCTATAGCACTGAAAAATGCAATTTTTTCAGGAGGCCAATTGTATCACAAATTATTTCATCAGAACAAGTAACCACCTCATCAGCTGACTCAAGCCAGAGAAAGCCTAGGTGTTGATTGAATAGCACAAAAACTAACTTTCCATCTTCCAGATGAGAAGCAGCAATCCTGCTCATTATCACTGTTTTCATTAATGACTCAGTCAGCAGCCCTATCAAATTAAACAACTATGGCTGCTCTCATTAAAAACAACCTTTGCCAAAACTATGCACATACAGGTACTATGAAAACGAAGCTATTTAAATAAACAAGGCAGTCTAAAAACCCCACCTCAAAATTACTGGCTGTCTCCCTCCATGATATACTGCTCCAGCCTGGTCCCCTTTCTGATTAGTTGCTGTTGAAGTGAACTGGCTCTTTGTGCCTGAACATCAGGTATGACTGATCCATTATTTACAATATAGAAAGTTCTCCCCAGTTTAGTTACTCTCTGAATGTGCAGAGACTTTATCTCCCATAATTCCTAGCTACCAGTATGGAATTCTGGAACTTGTGGTTCCTGGAGTGCACCAGTTGAGATAAAAATCACTGTTCTTCCAATTAGTAAATAACAGTGCCCTTAAGTCAAGCTGGCTCCTGCAGAGTGCATCCATGCAGTTTCTTTGGCAGTCTTAGTAGTAGTTTCCGACTGCCCATTCTATAGTATTTTTTCCAACTTCCCAAAAGAAGGCAGGCCTCAAACAAAGGCATTTCTGCAGAGCCACTAGCCTCATCCCCTCTGACTGTCTGCTGCACTTCTGTGCAAACATGAGGGTATCTTTGAGTCTGCTCCCTGGACCTTCCATGGATGAGGAAGACAGAATCCCAAAGTGTATAGGACTGGGGAGACCTAGACTTGGGTCCTCCCTCAGCCTTGAAAACTCACTGGGTCAGTCACTCTCTCTGCCCAGCATATCCCAGAGACTGTTGTTGCAGGAAAATAGTTAAAAAGGACTACTGTGGAGGAAAGATGGTGTAGGTATCAAATAAATAAAAGTCAGGCAGTTCAGCAATGGGGAAATGGGAAAGTCAATGCTCCAGCCATGATTCTGTTCTCATTTCCTCATCTGCTTTCTTTAGTAGTCAAAGAAAAAGAAGGTGGCTACACAGAGGCAGTGACAAAGCTCTCCATAATGCTTTGACATCTGGCAGGAGATGGGAAATCTGGGAGGCAGTGTGAGGCAAGCATGTCTGCCACTAGGAAGCTGCCCATCCCACAGCTTCAGAAGAAACACCGTACACCGTATTGAACAGTAACCCAAACTGAATTAGATATTAACTGTGTCAGTTTCCGAAGCCTTGTAGAAGACCTACAGTATTGTGAGGATGCAGAAAGAAGCTCCAAGCTCAGATTGATACTAACCCATGGATGGAAGAGGCCTCAGACTGAAACATGGTGAGGAGACCCTCAGAAGAGGCAGGAATTTCCATAGCATCTTCCAGCATCCTCAGCTATTATTGAAGCCATATAAAGGCTGTCCTCATTGGCGCAACCGTGGAATGCTCTAAAAATGCCGTACTTGCGGGGATCCTATTAAGACTGGATTGTGCTTGTCCTTACACGATAGTGAATCACTGAAGATCCACACAAGAGCTGATATTTGCTGGGTCAAAAGAAACAAGAAAAGGTGAACAGCAGAAAGTATCTATAACTACACGCACCGGAGGCTTTACGCTGTACCATTGTCACTGGCAACATAAACATTCAAATGAGACAATGGTACTTTAGAGCTGCAACATATGCTTTTTCCTTCATTCCTTCTGGGACCCTGAATCTAAGATTAAGCTTCTGGCTTGACTATGTGAAAAGCAAAGTTAATTTCTACTATAACCTGCATCTGACTCTGGGACCAGCAGTGTTGCATTCTTCCATTTTTCACACATGATTCCAAAGACATCTACACAGTTACAGCTGCAATTAGCCTAGGTGTGGTATTTGGATAGTCTTATCTCATGCCAAACTGTATCTCTTCAAAGAGGAATGAACCTTCCCCAAGGCAAATGGAACAGATTTGTATAAATCAGAAACAATGTCTGCAATTAAAAATAAAAGTAGACTGATATAGTAGTGAAAGGAAAAGGAATCTACATCAAACAAGGACCGTTGAAAATTTTTACACAAACTACAACATCTGGCAGCTCACCTGCTACCTGTGAATGAAACTGTGGCCATGAAGCAGTAAAGAGGGGAGGAGTACACCTAAATCTCCATGAGATCATGAAGCTGCAATCATGAAAATAATTACACCTCCAGGGACCCTTCTACACCCACAGTTGTTTCGTGAGAATAACCTCTAACCTCATTCTTTTTTTTTCCATGGTGGAATACTTATTTAGGCAATAGATCAGATGAAATTATTTTGATGAAAAAGAACATGTAAGTCGTGCTAATAAAAGGCTTTTGATTCACTTCCATTTCAGGTGGATTTTTTTCCATCACCAACTCCACTAAAAAAAACAAAGCAAGATTATCTTTCGGGAGCTCACAGTTATAAAAAAAGAAACATCCATTTTTAAATTACTCCTTGGTCAACAGGACGTAAGTGGGCTCCAGAAGCAGGGGGACTTGTAATTCTGTATCTGAAGAACATAATATAGAGGAAGGCTGGGCTAGACTACCTGGGAATCATTATCTTTGAATTCTGATTCTATGAACAACCAATAGTGAAGTATTGTATGTCTGCTACTAATTAACTGCAGTGTTTGAGTATACTGTTAAAAGTTGACCTACAGAACAGATTTAGAAAACATATGAGTTAAGACTCTTTTTTCTTTTATTAAAATTTCCCTATTGGGAGAAAGCAAGCACATTAGAGATAAGGTGGAATCTTTCTCTTTTATGTGCTAATTTACCTCGTTTTGAGGTACATATAATACTCCTAGGGCTAGTCCTGTCTCAAGCATATTTAGTTAGAGACAAATCTCATTTTGTTCAATGGATTTTAGTTTCTTCTAAGTACATGAGTTGTGGATTCCAGTCTTAATCTTTTTAACAATATCCTAGACAGATGTTCTTAGCACATTTGTCCCAGACTCATATGCAGCTGGGATTTTAAAATTCTGGCCTGGGCACAAGGTATTTAATTCTTGTGAAAATAATCTACTGGCTTCCCTGTCTCATTCTCTTCCCTCCTCACAGATTATGGCACCAGTCCCACTTGGAACCAGTTAAAGTACTGTCTCTGTGTTAGAAGGCAGATGGATCCTAACATTGTATGAAAGATTTCTGGTATAACTCTTTATCCTGGATTTAGCCTATCTTAGATTCACAGTGCACATTCCCATACAGACCCATATAAAATGTCATAATAAAAATAATGTCTGTGTTAGCAGACCTCAGTTTCAAAGCCACAAGAGATGAATTGGAGAATGCTCAAACCCATTTTCATGTCAAAGTTCTGAAGATGGATATGCTAAGAAACAGCATGTCTGATATGTGTAGAACAATTCTCTATAGAATAATCACAAACAGCTTTTATATTACAGAATTCAAGGGGATAATTTCAAAGTTGTGAATTGTAGCTTCTTAAACTAAAGAAAGACATATCTTGTTACCTAAAAGAAACACCAAGTATACTTGTTGATGGAAGATATACTTTTTTCTATAATACACCAGACCTGGCAGATATAATAATCACATTGCAAATGTTCTGCTGTTAAAACGCACAGCTAGTTCTGCATACATCAATCAATATTACATGTATTTCAATACAATCAGCCTATAAGACAGGTCATAATATTCACAGTCATAGTTGTGCCATTCATTATTTTTGCTTAGCACTGACACCATAGATCTTGCCAGACCTCATAGTCATACAATAGCATAACATATCAATACTGATCCTTCTTTTCTAGAAAGTATTTGAACCATGAGGGTATACTGTGGTTTTATTTGATTGTTGTACATCATCCAGAGTCACTTCCGGTGAGATGGGCAGCTACATAAATTTGATTAATAAATAAAAGAGAGAATGCAGTCTCTAGAACATATAAAGCCTTCACACCATTCTTTTAAAGTGTTCTTATTATAGGCAAATTTCACAAAGCACAAAGTTCCACATGAAAAATCACATATGTTAGGGATACCAGTTGTGGCCTGCAAAAATTCAGAAGATCCTACAGAACAGCAAATAGAAAATTCTAATTGTTTGTTGCAGTTGTTTGTCTAGCAATTGTCGGGATTTTTGGAGCCCAGATCTGATAACCTAACATATGTTCCACATGTACATGATGGTTAATGACCTATGTAATGTTTAAAGCAGCAATAATTTGAAGTCACCAATTAACCAGCCTGTAATCGGAAAGATGCTCCCTATATTGCAAGAATCACATGTGATAAGATGCATATGACACAGGAATGTGCATCTTATTCAGGTAGCAGCAGGTTCCAAATTGTATGTGTGATGAACAGACATGATCAAAGTTACACAGAATACGTGTGTACCTTTTTGTAGATTCATAGAGAAAATTTAATGTAACTTGAAAAAAGAAACCTTTTGTACACTTTTATTCAGAGGATGTATAATCAAGAAATATTCTGCTCTCATCCATATTATCATTAACTGATTCCTTTTCAGTATTTATTTAGCAAACATTTTGTTTTTAACACATCTAAAACACATACCCTCTCACTACAAAAGTTAGAAAGGTCCTTAATGCAATTTACCATCCCTAGGACAAATCTAAGACAGATTTCTAGTGGACCAAGGCTGCCATCAATCCTGTGCCTAATTGCCTAGGTAAAAAAGACTTGCCTTTTTAAACAGATTATTGTATGTACATTAAAGTGCCGTTTTATCTACATCGGGGATTGCAGCTACAAAATTAAAGCAAAAAAAGATAATAGTCTGCTGACCTTAAGACAGACTGGGAGATGTTCTTTTTTAAAAAAAGGATTATCTCCGCCTCTGTTTTTCCTTGCGTACACAACCAACTCCAGCGGACTGGAGCAATTCACATTCCGCCAAGTCAACAATGTTCGCACTGATTTGAACGCAGCTAATTACACCCTCTAGTAGTCCTGCACCACGAAGTATGCCCGGGGTAGGATGACTGCAAGGGAGAGATGGCTTTATTTCCCCTCCTCTCGCTGGACGGAACCAACCCGCGACCCACAGCGTTCCCACGGCCCTCAAGCTGTGGGTTGGGGTGAGTCGACCACTCAAGGAGCCACCCTCGTCCTTCGCTGAAAAGCCGGCCGAGATCACTTACCTGCAGTCGGTGCTCCTGCTTTTCCCGAGTCCGGCTCCTGCCCGGGGCGGAACGGTCACGAGTTCCGCGGCCAACTTTCCGTCGCCTAACAAGAACCTGCAGCCAATTAGGCGCGCTCCTTCCGCCTCTCCTCAGGGCTGCCTCCCCCGGTTCTTAAGCAGTTTCTGCCTCCCCGGTGTCCTCCACCTGCCTCGAGTACAAAACTCCTGGCTCAGGCCGAGAAGAAAAGCCTGCGAAGCGAAAGCAGCCGGGTTTTTCTGCCAGGCTTGGGAGCTGCCGAGGCTGCGACGCTGGCGGCCACTGGACTTTGCCTTCCCTCTCCGTCTCTACTATCTGCTTGCCCAGGAAACGGGATCCGTGTCCGCCCGGGTCCTAATTAGAGAGCTTTCTTGCCTTAGGCTCCAGAGGCAGCCAATGAAAGGGAACCAAAACAGAAGGCAGGGAGGGGAGCGAGAAACGGCGCTGCGGGGAAGTGAAGGTTAACCCTGCAGAGAAGGCTGGCTCTGACCCTTTCCTTCGCTTTTGTTACCTTGAGCTGTTATGGAAACCCCAAGGGACTGTAGGGAGGCTTATGTCACCTTAAAGAATAAGGCCATTTCCACACCACGGACGTTATAACGTTTAATGTCAACTAGCCATTGCTGCAACGCATCACGAAGGAAGCCAGGGTTTGGGTCATCCTAGTGATGGTTAGGCAAGGCTGTAAGAATTTCAAAGTCATTAGCGTGGAAATGGCACAGCAGGTATTCTGGCACATGCTTTTGTGGGCTCCATATTAGCAGATGCTTGGCTCGCTAACTTCTGTGCATTATAGCTTGTGTAATAATAAGGCTGCAAGTTCACACAACCGAGACTTAGAAACCAACCAACGGCATTTTAGCTTACCCTGTTGTGTAATCAACAGGCTTGTGTAATGTAATCACTTTAGGGTTCACTGCGAGGCAAAATTAGATTGAGTCAGTTGTGGATTTATTTATTTTATTTGGATGCTGCCCATCCCCAAAGGCTCTGAGGGGATAACAATTTTAAAATATAAAAAATAACCCTTCTCAAAAAATAAACAAAGCATTTAAAAAGTTTATAAAACTGGATCATCAATGTTAATAACACACCTTCTTTCAGGGCTAGATGGAAAAGCCAGATCTTAACTGCTTTCCTGAAACCCAAGAGAGAAGGGGTACACTGGATTTCTCTATGGAGGGAGTTCCAAAGCATAGAGACAGCTATGCCCATTTCTTAAGTCCTGTCAGATGGTATTCTTGAAGGGACATGTTACAGTAATCCAAAGGGGAGGTGACTAGGCCATGAGTGACAGCAAGCAAGACTTCTTGATCTAGGAGTAGCTACAACTGGCACACAAGTTATAACTGCAAAAGCTCTCTTGGCCATCAGGAGCTGTGTGTCTAGGACAGGGTTTCTCAATGTTGGCAACTTTAAGACGTGGACTTGAATTCCCAGAATTCCCCAGACAGCATATAAACCCTGGTCTAGGAAGAGCAGGAGGATTTTAGTCTCCCAGTCCCAGTCTCTTAAAAGTCACCTACAAGGTCAGTTGAGTGTGTTGTGTGAGCACAGCCTTAATAGGAGTAGGAGGACTCATTAATTTATCCACAGCTGTCCCTTTAAACTGTTAGGGTCTAAGTTTTAAAGCAAGTATTGTCTCCTTTGAAAGCTTCAGTTTGTTAAACTATTAAATCAAACAGTAATGTCCACCTGTAATGTTCAACCAAAGAGATAAGCCACTGTGGCAGTAGCAGTAGGCAAGTTGGGAATGCCGGTCTCAGCTGAGAAAATTTAGGGAGTTTTTCTTTTAATAACTAGCTCCTTTGCTTCCTACTTGGTATTCCTGTTTGACGGAACTGCTGAGTTTTCTGCCAGGGAAGTGAGCATTTTCAAGGCCAGATTTCTTGAAGGGTCGGGGGAGAAGTCCAGCAGCAGTTTCTTATTGCCTTTTGCTTTCTCTCTGTAATCAGCTTAAGTTTACTATCTGGCATTTTCCTTTTACCACATTAAATAAGGTCTTGTGGTTGAGCTCGTGGGTCAGAATGTATTAGTGGGATAGGGTTCCTGGCATCTCTCCTATGCTTTTCTGAACTCTTCCTGTATGTATGTATATATGTATGCATTTATATATCAAATTTGTCACCACCCATCTCATTAAAAAATGACTCTGGGCAGTTTACAGAAGAGAAATACCAATTAAAATACAATATAACATTTTAATAATTTATCCTAAACAAATATGAAGTATCTTCCAAGATAATTGATGGTAACTAAAAATCATAGGGCTCAGGGAACATCATCAGGGTGCCAGCCAGGCTTGGTTAAAACTCTTTTTGCCTCATGCAAGCTGGCAGAACCAGGTCTTCAGTTCTTTCAGAAAGCTGGGAGGGAAGGGGCCAGCTGTGCTTCTGGGGGGAGAATATTCCAGAGGCCGGGGGCAATGGCACAGAAGACTCTCCTCCTGGGCCCCGCCAGCTGATATTTTCTCACTAATGGGGTCCATAACATGCCCTCTCTGCCGGACTGGATGGGACGGGTTGATGTGATGGGGGTGAGACGGTCCCTCAGGTAGCCTGGACCCATGCCACATAGGGCTTTAAAGGTGATAACCAACACCTTGAATTGGACCCGGAAGCAAACTGGGACCCAATGCAGCTCCTGCAGCAGAGGTGTTCCCATGAGAAGCTGTTGTTCTTTATAATTATTTCCAAAATCTTATGGTAAAAATTTCAGTACTCCAATTTTATCTGGACTCTTAGTCCATTGATAACTTTCTTGATAACGGCACAGAAGACTCTCCTCCTGGGCCCCGCCAGCTGATATTTTCTCACTAATGGGGTCCATAACATGCCCTCTCTGCCTGACTGGATGGGACGGGTTGATGTGATGGGGGTGAGACAGTCCCTCAGGTAGCCTGGTTCTTTCAAAACCTTATTTAGCTTTTTGCTGTTTATTTCAGATTCTTTAAATTCTTAAGCTTATGA